TCAATCCGTCATTAAATTTACTCATTAAGTCTTATTTTTCCCAAACATCAACAAAACAGTATGCTTCATTAAATAAACTTTATGATTAACTTCCGCCTTCTAAGAATGAATACATGCACAAATCCATCTAGAAACTCAGTCCCTAAACTCTGTTTCTCATAAGCTGTGGGGCACCCCTGTCTATGACAAAGGTTCACAAATTCATCAATACTATAGTAAAACTTGGTTGAAACCAGTGGTTCACAAAAGAGCTACTTTTATGATTTTCCTTTCACCAGGAATTGCTGTAATATCAACCACTAATTAAGAGGGAATGTGCTTTTTCTGCTGCTAAAAACAGATGGAGAACATTGATCACTGGGGCCTGAGGTCCCCATTTGCCACACAAATGGTTTTAGAAGAGTTGTGAACCTGAAGGGTTTTTTGTTTGTTTTTCTGAGACAGGGTCTTCCTCTGTCGCCCAGGCTGGAGTGTAGTGGTGCGATCTCAGCTCACTGAAATCTCTGCCTCCCAGGTTCAATCAATTCTCCTGCTTCAGCTTCCCAAGTAGCTGGGATTACAGGCATGCACCACCACACCTGGCTAATTTTTTTTTTTTTTTTTTTTTAGTAGAGACAGGGCTTCGCCATGTTGGCCAGGCTGGTCTCGAACTACTGAACTCAAGTGATCTGCCTGCCTCGACTTCCCAAAGTGATGGGATTACAGGCGTGAGCTACCATGCCAGGCTGATCCTTCAGTTTTGATAACCATTTGTAACTCATTGCATAGATGAGAACAGACTGGAAGTCAAATGCTCTATTTATAGAATCTTGTGTAATATAAAGTCTTCCCAGCATTGCTTTCCAAAATGGCATTTTCTAAAGAGGGAGAAAAGAAGATTGCTCTTGAAAGTTGCCTTTTGTAGAGTACATCTGGGTAAATATTTTACATATCAGAAAATCTAAATGATGAATAGAGGCCTACAATGTTATGAAACAGAGGATATGTTTAGAATAAACATATGGATCAATAAGGATGATTCACTTAAGAGGGACTGTCAGGTCATTCTGATCTGGGGACACCTTGCAAAATTCTAAAGAGGGAAAATGCCAGACTAGGTATGCTCCCTCAGTTGGGCTCAGCTGCAACAGTTCTAGGGGTTGCATCTTATCTATTTCTTGAATCAAGAACTGTTTACTTTTTCCTGTGACATTCTCGTTAGGAAGAGAATGGCTTCTCATATTCCAAAGAGGTTAGTGTCAGTGTTTAAAAATTTATGAAACATGGCTGGGCGCAGTGGCTCACGCCTGTAATCCCAGCACTTTGGGAGGCAGAGGTAGGTGGATCATTTGAGGTCACGAGTTCAAGACCAGCCTGGCCAATATGGTGAAACCCTACTTCTATTAAAAATACAAAAAGTTAGCCAGGTGTGGTGGTGCACACCTGTAATCCCAGCTTCTTGGGAGACTGAGGCACGAGAATTGCTTGAACCCTGGAGGCAGGGTTGTAGTGAGCCAAGATTGCGCATTGCACTCCAGCCTGGACAACAGAGTGGGAATTTGTTTCGAAGAAAAAACAAAGCATAAAAATTATTAAACAACCTTTACAAAGATATAAGAGGATGAGAGCATACAATTCTAGAGTATCAAAAATAAAGATACAAGAGGGCTAGAGCATCAAATCCAAGTTAATACACAAGGTATATTAACAAAATATACAAACAGTGTTAAACGGATGACTCTGCCCCCAAGGATTTTCTGTTTGGCCCACAGTGTGGTTTCCTTGTTTAAGATACAAGCAGAAAAGGACTGACAAGCAGAGCCCAGTGGATACCAGAGATGAGGCACAAGGCAAGAAGCGCAGTATGCATTATTGTTGAAGGGGGATTTAGTCTCACATTCATGGAAAGAAGCAAAGACTTCCAAAATCTGCCAGGGAAAGAGCACAAACATATGTCACAAATAACGACCCTGGAGCTGAAAGTGAGGAACAATAAGCAAAGAGGCCGACATGCACCGCAATGCAGCCATGGACTCTCTAGAAGGTGAGTTGGTTGGGTTGTGCAATGGGGCTAAACAGTGCATCCACCAATTGCCAACTTTGCTTCCCTTTCTAGAAAAGACACCCTTTCTCTGACTCCTTTCCATTGCCCTGGCATCTTCTATTCCTAAGGACCTGGTGAGAATTGTCACCTTCCCAGCTAATATCTAGTGAACTTTTAGGTGAAGCCAACATCTTTAATTACTGGGTAGGATAGTTGGCTGGACACATGGCACATCTCCCTCCCAGGACTCATTCCACCAGAACTCTCCAAAGAACTTTTACTTAATTCAGTGGGAGCACTTGAATTTATGCCCCATTAAAGTTCCCTTTTGAAAATTACAAGCTGAAGCCACATCTAACAACTATGATGATCTCTGGATCCCACACACATCCTAAAAATGGAAAATTCATTTCATGGTCACAGAACCAATAAAAAATATGACTTCATTTGAAATGCCCAAATTTTTTTAAAAAACAAAATTAAATGGTTTCAGGTGTTTATAAAAGTCTTTATGTGCATAGCATTCTACCAACACTGGACAGACTCTGAAAAGATTCTCCTACGTCGTAAGAAATTACAGCTTAGACTGGAGGTCAATTTTTTTTTTCCTTCGGTGAGATTTGCTTTTAGTTTCAAATTTAGCATTTTTGTTTTAGTGCCAGTGTCAAAGTTAGACCTCTTAATATTTATGTTCTTACTCATCTTTCATTAGCCACAGAAAAAACAAGTGACACTAGTGTCTCATCTCTAGACTTGGTTACATAAATGACTCTGGGTGTGACCATCTCGGATGAGTCCGTAAGTCAGTCAACCAACATAAGACTGACTTATGTTGTGCCAACTGTGTGCCACTGTGTGCCAGGTAGGACCCAAGTTCAATAGGAAAAGCTCATGCAGTCATGTTTCTATTGAAGATCAGAGTCCCAACCTTCAAGTAATATGAAATACATAGCTGAGTTAAGACATCTCCAGGTTTCAGGAGTACTTGTTTGGAGGGGTGCCCCCTTACTTTTTACCTGGCTTTTGATGAACATTCTTAGGGAACTGCAGACATAAACACAAGGGCCAAGGACCCCGACTCCACCATTAAGTTCCCCAAATAGTCTACAATCTTTAGTGCATACAGCAATCTCCGGGCTTATGCCTGATGGTCCCCAGAGGATCCTGTAAGGAGCAGGTGCAAGTCCGGACCTGTAGCTGCTGGGGAACTTTGATGCCCTGCAACAAAGGGCCAGAGGTGGATCCTCTCTCAGGAAAGCTTTGCAGCAATGAAGGCTCTTTATGGACAGCTAAGCATGGAGTTGGCACAAACTGCTGCCTGACACTTAGGGCTGTCCATGCCCTGGTGCCAGCCTTTCAGCCACCACTACCCTTCCTGTACCCTATCCAGTCCTATTCAACTGCCCAACAGAACTCCTTGTTTTCCCTCTTAGGTGTTAAAGCTGTCCCAGCTTCCAGCTGTTGCTCATGCTGTTCTGTACGGAATGTCCTTCTTTCTCATCTCTCTATTCTTCCAATTCATGTACATTTTCTAAATGCATTTAAAATGTCATAATCTCCATGAAGGCTCCTCTCATTCATCCCCCAATAGAAGTTTCTCTGTCTGCTCTGAATTCTCCACATATTCTCTCTCTCTCAGTTTCTTATTGTTTATTACCTTTTAACTTGTATAACAGTCATTTCTTTTCATCTGTTACCTTCCCTGTAAAACTGAGAAGTACGAGGACCTGGAGTCCAGGTTTTCTTGATGACTGTGTTTCTAGCATCTAGCCCAGTAATTCCACTGTTTTTGAAAACCAGGTTCTGCACAGCCCTGGGGGTCCAAAGATGTGACCTGGTTCCAAAGAGGGGCAGAAAGTGGACAAGGACCTGGGGAAGACGCCTTCCCCACAATCTGTGCTTCGGTTAGGTAGGTTTTCATTTGAACTCTTCTATATATTGGGATTCATACAATTTTTTAAAAAAGGATTCTTCTAGAGATAGAAAAAAGGAAGTCACTGTAATAGATATTGTCAAATAAATGAATAGAATTACACTCAATACCTCTAATCCTTTTTCCCTCAGGGATAATGAAATTTCAGTGATAAAAAATGAGTGGCAAAGGTTCAGGGTGGCTGTCAATTGAAGAACATGGTCAAAATCGAGGGCCCTTTCTCTTGTTCTGTACAGAACTATACCGAAATTTTAGTTTTACATTAAAATAAAGCTCTGAATGAGTTATGTTGAAGGTGTTAAACAGAACTATCCTGGCACCTGGTTCTGGGGTGTGTGTGTGTGTGTGTGTGTGTACATTAGCACATCCACTATGCTTTGATCTCAATGTAACTTCAGGGATATAGAAGAGAGTTATAAATGAGGCTGATGCCTCTTGATTTTCCTCTACTTCCCCTCTTACCACCAAATAAATTTACTACTCCTTCAGTCTTCTTCATGAATGGATATTAGCGTCATTTACTAATATCCCCAGAATGGGTATTAGTAAATGACGCTAATATCCATTCTGCTGCTCAGGCTAAAAATCTAGGAGTTTTCTTTGATTTCTCTCATTCCTTCATGCCCGACATCCGATTCACAAGTAATATTGTTGAGTTTGCCTGTGAAACACAGTCTGAAGCAGCCATCTCTCTCTGCCAGACACTACGAGCTGCCATGGTTTAAGGCCTCACCACCTCACATCTACGTTACTGCAGTCACCTCTTCCCAGCCTCCCACCTTCCACTGTCTCCTCCCTATAATCCATTCTCCAGGCAGCAGCAAAAGTCTTGTTTAAAACTCTCATCAGACATAGAGTAAAACTCTAACTCCTAACTGGTCAAAAATAATCAAGCTAACACATATATCTCACTCCAAACTAAACAAATTTGCTCACTCTGATAATCTTAGGTTGGGGTTTTTTCCTTTAAGAAAATAAATTAGTGGATGACTGAGCAGAGAGACAGAAAAACTGACACCACACTCAAAAACAGAAATGACTTACGGCTTCAGATTTGGGAGGCACTGGAGGTGGAGGTAGGGCAGTATCTGAAGACTTCATTGCTGCTCCCAGAGTCCCAGGGATGGGAAGAGGTGAAGTTGCACATTTGGATCGGACAGAACCTCTAAACTGATCACATCTGCTCTTCTCGCTCAGGGAGCGAGTGAGAGGCTGATGGCTGGGCTTGCCTTCCTCCAGCCACAGCTCTTCGTAGGGAAGTTCTGACTTTCCTGGGACACCTGCTGATTCTTCACTAGCTTCCGGAAAAAGGTAGTCGCTCCCACTATCACCAGAGTCCTGATACGGCAGGATGTCATGAGCAAAGGGGGCCCAATCTCCTCCCAGGTCCCTGCAACCATGAAGGTTCACCTCGCTGTTGCCATGGAGATTGTTACCATACACACAGACCGAGAGTCGGTGGAAGGACTGTGTGAGCTCATCGCGGGCGTAGCTGAGGGAATTGGGCACGTGGTTGTGGCCAGAGCACCGGCCCTTCTTGGGGCTCTTGCAGTCCTCATTCCAGTCGGTTTTCACATCACGGACAGCCCGTGAATACTCATCGATGTCGAACTGTTCTTGGCAGATACCTAGCCAGTGATGGACCAGGGTTTCGGGCCATCCCTCTCCCTTCACCAGGTGTTCTGGGAGGCTGAACTTGGGGAGAGTCAAGTGCAAAGGAAAGTGCATGGGGAGGATCTTGTTGTTCCGCAGCACACAGCAAACCACCACCGTCTTGGTCTGGATGTTCACAAACTTGTAGCGGTGCCCTTCACGGATGAAGTGGAGGTCGTACGGGTTTCTCGGCGGGGGGCTTGGCACAGTCACATTCACAGGAAGCCTGGTCTTTTCCACAATGTTGCGAATGGTGTGTTCGCCCTCTTGCATCTGAAGTTCCAGGGGACTCCGGGTGCTAAATCTGCCCTTGCACTGGAATGGAAGGCTAATGCTTTCATTGGTCCTGTGATTCATGCAAATGAGGCACGGCATTTTGCCTTTTCCCAGCTTGCTGATGGAATTGAGCTTCCCAATCTTTTTGAAGATTGTATTGAGTCGTGACTTTTCCTTGAATGTCTTTGCATAAAGGATTTCTGCTTGCCCCATTAGAGTGAGTTCATCCCCAGTACACAGGGTGATGTTGTAAACTTCAGTGTCTTCATTGCATTCACCTGAAGCAACCTACAATATAATAAGTCATATTTTAGGTTCATTTCCTTTGATCTATTCACGCAAAGAAGAACTTCCTATTAAGACACACACAAGCCAGGCACGGTGTCTCGCACCTGTAATCCCAGCACTTTGGGAGGCTGAGGTGGGCAGAACACCTGAGGTCAGGAGTTTGAGACTAGCCTGGCCAACATGGTGAAACTCCATCTCTACTAAAAATAGAAAAATTAGCTGAATGTGGTGGCGGGCACCTGTAATCCCAGCTACTCAGGAAGCAGAGGCAGAAGAATCGCTTGAACCGCAAGGCAGAGGTTGCAGTGAGCTAAGATTACGCCATTGTACTTCAGCCTGGGTGACAAGAGTGAGACTCCCATCTCAAAAAAAAAAAAAAAAAAAAAAAAAAAAAAAAAAAAAAAAAAAAAAAAAAAAAAAAAAAAAAAACAAAAAAAAAAAAAAAAAAAAAAAAAAAAAAAAAAAAAAAGACACAAATACACACACAGAGGAAAATGCTATGCTTTTCTTTAATACTAAATTTAGGCACTTCATTTATTATGTGGTTAACAATAACTACTTTTTGTTCAAGATGATTATTAGTTTAGAATTTTATAAACCTCTCTTTTCTCTCTATATATGCAGAGTAGTCTATCATATGGATATTAACAGGGGTATTGTCATTTTTTCTTTTTTGGTTATAAATAATGTTTTCATGAACACAATGTAGAAAATTCCTTGTTTATTTAAATTTTTAAAATTTGAAATTGAAACAAAGAACTTAAAAATGTGGTATTTCTCCATTTTAAAAAATTATACACCCATTATTTATGTTAATTGGAAGAAATATTAGAAAACAGAAATATAGAAATGAAAAACTTTTATCTGTAAAATTTAATATAAATAGAAAAAGGAAATGGACTTGATCTATCTATCTCAGAGATACATATAGATACAGATATACACAATTCTGTTACCTGAGTTTCTAACTATAATCTATCCATTTCACTGGGGATACTTCATCAATAGTAATACTAACCTAATGTATTCCATTTTGTATGAATGTGCATTAATTTATTTGACTAGTTCCTTCCTGTTAGATAAAAATATAGATGGGCTTTCCCATTGTATAGCAATTATAAATAGCACTGCAAAGAGCTTTTTACAGCTCAATTATTCCCTTAGGATAAAGTACCAGAAAAACTGCAGGGACAAAAACTATTCATGTATTTTTGTTTTGTTTTTTAAGACAGGATCTTGGTCTGCTGCCCATGCTGGAGTACAGTGGCTTGATGACAGCTCACTGCAGCCTTGACCTCCCAGGCTTAAGGAAGCCTCCCACAGCCTCCCAAGTAGCTGAGACTACAGGTGTGAGCCACCACACCTGACTAATATGCATATATTTGAAAGGTCTAATATGCACTGCCCATTGTGCTTTCCTCAACATTATACTTATTTACACTTTTACCACTTTATGAAATTATGTCTCCCTATACTCACACTAAAGTTTATTTCATGTTTACCAGTATGAGAGGTAAAGCATGCATACTGAATTTATTCTTTTATTAATTTTAAATATATTTATTGGTATATTCATTTTTCCGTATTTATCTGATTATTTAGATCTCTTACTGATTGCTTTTTATGTAATGAAAATGTAATGTCATTTATACTATGTATTTTTCCATTTGTTGTTTGAATTACAATTTTATAGCTTAACTATTAAAGTTGTTTCTTAAAAAAGTAGTCAATATTTTCAAAATTTTGCTTTGTGATTTCATTCTTGCGTGCTATGCTTCTAGCTGAGATAATATAGATTCATGATTCTGAACCAGGAGTGACTGTATCTTCTAGAGGATATTCTCGAAATGTTTGGAGACAGTTTTGATTGCCATGACTGGGGAAGCTGCTGCTTGCATCTAGTGGGTAGTGGCCAGGGAAGCTGCTCAATATGCTATAATGCCCAGGACAACTCCCCACAGCAAAGAATTAGCCGGTGCAAAAATTTCAGTGGTGCTGAGGTTACGAAACGCTGGTATACTTTCCAGTGTTTTCTTTTAGTACTTTGCTATGAGTACTATTTATAGCTCTATTTATTTTTTTCTGAATCCTAACCACTAGCGCAACACAGAATGTAACTCTATTTACTCTGGTGGATTATTTAAGGTGGTATTTATTTATTTATGTAAGTTAACTGAGTATCGAGTACACTTCCTAAATAGCCATCCCTTTCATAACTGATTTGATATAAAAGTATATAATTATGATATAATTATGATATAAAAGTATATAATCATACAATAAAAGTTACACTTTTATTGTATAAGATTATATACTTTTATATCATAAATTATTAAAAATATATAAATTTTTATATACTGAGTTCATAAAATACATACATTCAAATATGTACCTATATGTCCATCTATTTTGAGGCCATTTGTCTTAGCTACCTTTCTGTCTATTTTCTCACTGTAACTATGTTGTTTTTAATTTCTGTGTCTTTACCTTATATTTTCAGATCTCATATCAAAAGCCCTGATTTGTGTTTACTTTGACTCAAAAAGTATGTGGATGGCAGAGAAATAAAGTCAAAAGTCTGATGACAGACTGAAAATATTTATAAAACATATCACAGATAAGGAGCTAGTATCTCTAACATACAAGCAGCTTTTTAAAAGTAAGGACCCAAGACCATCCTGGCTAACATGGTGAAACTCCGTTTCTACTAAAAGTAAAAAAAAAAAAAATTAGTTGGGCGTGGTGTCATGCACCTGTAGTCTCAGCTACTCGGGAGGCTGAGGCAGAAGAATCGCTTGAACCCAGAAGGTAGAGGTTGCAATGAGCTGAGATTGCAACCCTGCACTCCAGCCTGGCAACAGAGTGAGACTCCGTCTCAAAAAGAAAAAAAAAAGGACTAAAAATGTTGGAGAAAAACAGGCAAAATATATGAAAAATCAATTAACTAATAAGATGCACAATGGTTTTTAAACCTATGAAAAGATGTTCAACTTCTCTCCTCATAAGAGAAATGTCAATTAAAATTACACTAAGATACCATTTCTCACCTAACACATTGATTAAAAATTCAGAAGCTTGACATCACACTCAGTTGGTAAGGCTATGGGGTAAAAGGCATCCTTGTCCATAGCTGGTGAGAATACAGCATAATATAACCCCTGTGGTGGGGAAATTGGCAGCATCAAGCCAAATGACATGCATTTATTCCTCCACCCAGCAATCCTACATCTAGGAATTTACCCTGAATACATTCCTCCAACAATACAAAAGTACACACGTATAAGGTTATTCAGTGCAGCATTATTTGTCTTTGCAAAATATTGGAACTCATCTAAATGCTCAAATATAGGAGGCTGACAGAATAAATTATGGGACACACACTTCCTGGTACTATACAAAAAAGAATGAGAATAATGAGTCCAAGGAATGGATATGAAATGACTTTCAAGGATATATTGTTAAATAAAAAAAAGCAAAGTGCAAAAAAAGTTTATACAGTATACTTTTTTTTTTGTTTAAGAAGAAAGAAAAAAAATAGTGCATATGTTTTCTGTTTATTTTTGTTACCAAAAATAAAAAACAAAAAGAAACACAAGAAAAACCAGAAAACAATGAAACTGGTTACTTACTGTAGCTAGAGACAAGGGAGGAAACGACACCTTTCTAAGTATACCTTGCCACAGAGTTTTGATTTCAAGGATGTATGCTAATGTGCCACACATTTTAAAAATTAGGTTGACAAGAATTTTTTAAGATTTTAAAAAAATGATACTTTAAGTTCGGGGATACATGTGCAGAACATGGATGTTTGTTACATAGGTATACATGTGCCATGGTGGTTTGTGGCATCCACCAACCTGTCATCTACATTAGGTATTTCTCCTAATGCTAACCCTCCCCTAGTCCCCCACCCAACAGGCCCCACTGTGTGATGTTCCCCTCTCTGTGTCCACGTGTTCTCATTATTCAACTCCCACTTACCAGTAAGAACAATGCGGTGTTTGGTTTTCTGTTCCTATGTTAGTTTGCTGAGAATGATGGTTTCCAGTTTCAACCATGTCCCTGCAAAGGACATGAACTCATCCTTTCTAATGGTTGCATACTATTCCATGGTGTATATGTGCCACATTTTCTTTATCCAGTCTATCGTTGATGGGCATTTTGGGTTGGTTCTAAGTCTTTGCTATTGTAAAGAATAGCAAAGACATACGTGTGCATGTGTCTTTACAATAGAATGATTTATAATTCTTTGGGTATATACCCAGTATTGGGATTGCTGGGTAAAATATTATTTCTGGTTCTAGATCCTTGAGGAATTGCCACTGTGTTCCACAATGGTTGAACTAATTTATACTCCCACCAACAGTGTAAAAGCGTTCCTATTCCTCCACATCCTCTCCAGCATCTGTTGTTTCCTGACTTTTTAATGATCGCCATTCTAACTGGCGTGAGATGGTATCTCATTGTGGTTTTGATTTACATTTCTGTAATGATCGGTGATCATGAGCTTTTTTTTCATGTTTTTTGGCCACATAAATGTCTTCTTTTGAAACGTATCTGTTCATATCCTCTGCCTACTTTCTGATGGTTTTTTTTCTTGTAAATTTATTTAAGTTCTTTTAAAACTGAATGCAACTGGAAATAAATACAAAATCCAACTGTATTTCAAATCAATAAAATAACCACTCTGGGGAAAGAGAAATAATCCAAGTAGTTTTGGAATGCTGTCTGATGCAGCTTGGCTGTGACCCCAACCAAATCTCACCTTGAATTGTAATAATCCCCATGTGTCAAGGGAGGGGACAGGTGAAGATAAGTGAATCATGGAGGTGGTTTTCCCCATGCTGTTCTCGTGATAGTAAGTGAGTTATCATGAGATACGGTTTTATAAGAGGCTTCCCACAACACTGGGTACTCATTCTCTCTCCTGATGCCCTGTGAAGAGGTGCCTTTCTCCATGATTTAAAGTTTCTGGAGGCCTCCCCAGCCATGCACAACTG